GGAATCTCGTAGTTTTTAATGCAAAAGGTTGCTCTATTTATTCGCCACAATTGTGGTTGAATAATTCCTTTGTTATTAAGCGTATCCTTCGAGAAAAAGCGTGTGAGAAGATAGTATTCTATATAAGCATAATTCCATGTATATATTTTCACCTTATAGAACTAGGTACCGATCTACAATTTCTCGACTAATTAGAAGTTCAAGGTTCGTGATTAATGAAAGGAGCAACGATTCACGTAATAAATCGTGGGTTCGTTATTCGAGGAATATTATCCGATGACTCGAGATATTTCATCATATTTCATCATATTTCCGAACCGTCTCTCTTCAATATCGATTTTCTAAGTAATAATGGCAACTACTTGTAGTTGTTGCACGAGAAAGATACCATTTTTTTAATGCAACTCGTATTACTCAATGTTTATCTTGAAATATATTTTTCATTCGACATATCTTTCTTTTACTAATAATATATTAGTCGTTAAAATATTCGTAATATTGACGTTGCATTAACGACGGTACGCGAAGTACATTAATTGCACGATGTAACAAACAATTTAAACGAGCCTTTTATTACACATATATCAAGATAGAAGGAAATATTCACGGCTAACTTGGACAGTTATACATATTCGAGGAATCGACCTGAATTTCCCGCCAAGATACACCGTTATTACGTGCTTATTTCCGATACGCGTCCATCAGTCGAATCGCCGCGTGCGACGAGTTAATGTTTGCATACATCCAGAACCACGGTAAAAGAAACGTTATAAATGGAGTTATAAACGTTATAAAAAATATGCCTATTATTAAATTTGCATATTGAAAGTGTCTCTCGACCCTGTTAAATGCATGAATAACAGTTACTAATGTTTAATAATTCTTATTAAATTATTAATTTATATTAATTAAAGTCGAATGATTATAAGTACTATAAATTAGGAAAGTTATTTTATCATTCCGCTATTGCTAAAAGATGTTATCTTTTTAAATGTTTTCTTACATGAATTATTTTCTCAGCTACGAGGTGATCCGTTGCGTGCATTTGATAACGGCTAGAGTTTCGTTACGAAATGATCGCGATGCGAAGAATAGTACAGCTATATTTGCGAAATAATCCCATCGTTCTCTCTTCGATGCAAATAAGTGTTTCCTGTTGCACGCTCCATAGAGAATGATCGGGTTGGGGAGCTAATTGTCTGGATAATCGCTGGACACTATCATTTAGTATCGCCGATGTTATATCAATATTGTTTACTATATATAAAGAATAAGAAAAACCAATGTAAGCAATATTTCGCAGTACATACAAAATTCGGTAACGGAATCTCGTAATGATGCGTGTACGTATATACTTGTATTTTTTATCATTTACATTGATCATTCGCATAATCTTCTTCACTTCCTTGACTTTGTATAAAATTTTTGTTTCTTTTTATTCTATTATGTAGAATAACTTTTCTCAGATGCACAAGATAAATAAGTAGTTTAGTTATACTAACAACGAGAGATATTTAAATTTTCAAAAAGAGTAATTAAATAATGCTGAGAAGTAAAATTGCTTGATTGCAATTGTATTAGCACCATTTCTCTTCATGTTTGTAGGTTGGCTAAAGCATTTCTTTTACGCTGTAAATTTTAGTTATAGATTATTCATGAAAATAATTTTAAAAATAGCAATTACATTTCAAAATTTTTCTGATTTATCAAAATTACAAAAATTCTCACCTCGTTTTCAAGTATTTTATCTTTTCACGAAATCTACTATCTCAAATTTATGAAAACGATATTTGTGTAAGAAACTGTTACTTTATTAGCATGAACTTAATACATGTATAATATTCAACTTATTCATTAATAAGCATTTTAGATCTCCGTGTTCATAAAGTTACGATGTTACGTAAATATATTAACAAGTGCTCCAAACGATCTTGCGTAAAAGTATACATTAAACGTAATGTATTATAATTCGTAATGTCTTCGGCGAAAGCATATGTGCATTCGTGTTTCCGGGGTGACTTGATATGGCGTGACACCGTTTGGAAAATATCAAGAAGCTTAGATTTACACTTAGGATTGCAGCTCGTGTGTCATAATGCTTATTCCCTCAACTTTCTCGTATGTAAACGAAGATTGACATTTAATCTCGACGACAGATACTTTCATTAATTTTGAAATGGTTAAAATGTCCTCTTTTTATAAAATTAAATTCATACATGTGAGTTGTAAAAGAAAAAATGGTTTACGTATAAAAATAAAGGTTATAAAATTAGCAGAATATTAAATAGTAATAAATAAAGCAAGAACATCAAAATACGGTCCGAGTTAGATGCCCAATGATTTATTGTGTGAATTTTATATATGTATGCAGTAAATAGTAATAACTTATTAGCGCTAATAAATTTGTTATATTATGCATTTATATCAGAGGAAACTGTTTAAAAGAAAGATAAGAAAGATTTGAAAAAATTTCACAAAATTAGATACTATATCTCATATAGCACAGAAGTTTGCAGCTATACAATATGTATATTACAGTATCATTGCAATATCATATTATACATTGCAGTGTAATATCGTAAAAACAATGTATAAACATAAATTTGTAATGTAGTAAATACTATTACAGTAATATTTCAAAACTATTGTGAAGAACTTTTAAATCATGTTATATAGCAATACGTATTTATTTTTCTTATGGCTAATTAAATTTATTATATTTACAAATGACATATAATTTTTGCAAGCGAATTTCAAGTATTTTCTAATATTTTTTCTTCAATATTCTATAACTTAAATATTGAATTGATTTATTATTTTTAAAACAAGACCACAAATTGAAAGTCCAACGAGAATATTTTTAGTTGTAGTTTTATTGCAATGTATTTTTGCTTACGTAGGTAAATTTACAGCGTAACAAGGCCGATGCGTTATGTTTTAAAAGAATAGAATTTTCCTCCAAATTATGGGTATTAAATAAATTATACATAAATATTTTTTTATAATGGAACTGCACATGTATATGTATAATGTCCTTGAACAGTTTCTACTATCTCACGTTATTTTTTTAATTGCTTTTTGAAATAGTTTACAATTGTTAGTATAATGTATTTTCCCGACAAATAATGATTATGTACGTAACGTTGTACTCTTGCGATAAATTGTTGCCACAATATTTTTACAATTTTGGTGTGCTGTGTGGGATATTGTCATAAGGTGGGACATTATAATTCTGATATTATTCTTACACGTATATTAAAATCAATATAAGTGAAATTATTATTATATAATTGACGTATTCAAACGTATATACAATTAACATATAAATTCACTAAACTTGTAACTTTTGCTTACCGTTGATATAATTAAAACAATCAATGAGAATAATTTCATGCTGTGGATGACTCATGCGGTAAAATAATGTTTATTTCTCTTAAAGAATCAGTAATTGAATTTCGATAATTTTATAGCAGATTTATACAAAAACTTGTGAGTAATTTGTTTATCTGATTGCTAGAATTAGAAGCTATAGAATTTTGGGAATTTAGAAGTTACCATGCAGTGTTAGGTGCAATTGCACTTGTCCATTATTACAGTATTAATTAAAGGATAAGAAATTAATCCTACTTAATCCTTTTACATTCGAAATTTATAACAGGAGAAACTAGAAGATAATATTCTAAGAAACTGAAGTAACGGAATAGTTCAAACGGAAGAGAAAAGAAAAAATATGTACACAATACATGTATACAACCAAATGTGTTTAATATGTCTATATTTGGTCTTTCACTCTGACATTGTATTTCTGTGTATCACAATATAAGTGCGTGATCGGCTGATGTGGCCAGATCGAGCGCTCTGTATACGCACACGTATGAGAAAGTGGCATGACAAGATGAACAGCCGTTACGCGCGTGATCCTCTCATGAATACGCGTGATGTCAATACATCGGCCGGCCGGTCGGCGTGCGCGTAAACAATGTTGCTAGATATTACAAGAGAATCCTCCTATCATATAGATAAGCTCTTTGATATAATCTAGACATTTATGAATGTGGGAGTATAAATTAAAAAATTCAATACAGATTTAGAAACTAGACTGGGAAAACATATTGTTGGAGATACACGTAAGTGTGTGTGGTTTAACACGCACACCGGAATAAGTGAGACCATGCGGTCGTACGAGCCACGCTCGACCAATGCGATCGCGTCGCCGGCACGACGTGTACGCAATTCGCACCCACGTGGTCGCGCGAGATGCTCGCGCGGATGAAGCCTGTATGTTACGCGAGGTCTCTTTCAGTGTTATCATTGAAACGCTCGTGTGCCTAGAGAAAGATCAAAGGTCAAAAGATATTTTCGAACAATTGCTATAAAGATAAAAAGTAATTGATGAGGTGAGATTTAAAAAACACCAGTGCAACTAATCTAATAAGAATCAAATTAACTTATTGTTTAAGTATCTCAGCAAAGTACGTAACATCATTTTTCATATTACAAGCCGTTCTGTCAGCACTCATTTTTTTTTTTATTATTAATCAATAACAAGCAAGCATCATAAAGTGTAAGCGCCACGTACATATGTATGGCGTAGTATGTGTGAATCACGCTAGAGATAATGATCGTATGATGCGTACCTGGTGCAAGGGTCAGCGAGCATTACCCGATATTACTCGCGTGAACTATTATTATACCCGGGTTCATGATATGGAGCATATGAAAAGCAGATGGAGATTATAATTACAAATCACATTTTATCAACTCTCAGCTAATAAACTCGCGAGGTCACGTGATCTATCGGATGACTTATTTACGCATGCATGGAATGAATAATTAATTGTCTATTAATTGAGTAATTGTTTAATGTTTAATCATACGTTGCTTTGAATATGCAAGACTGACAAGAAAGAAGTCTGAATGTAAATCGTTACATTTATTTACGCATTCATGGAATTAATTATCTATTAATATTGAGTAGCTGTTTCATTATTCGTTATTTTGAATATGCGACAATAATAAGATAAAGGTCGGGTGTAAAGTGTTACATAATCGGAAGAGGTTCGCCTTTAAGAAGCGCGAAGTGCAGGTGGTCAGTAGTTCAGTATTGCTAACAGACGTGCGGTCGATATTCGTCGGAACTATAAAACGCACGCGGTGTGCTTGGTCTGTTTCTGTCCGTCACCATTCGCTGGTCTCAGGTGGCGAGATTTGTGCGACGCGATTCCATTGGTTCAGACGGTCTCAGCCGAGGTCTGGTACAACGGTCGACTCATACTGTATCAGACGCAACCTGATTGTCCTCCCCAATCCCTTCTATAGCCGGTATAACGCGATCTTCAACGGCTTGGATAATTAGAGGGAGAGAGAGAGAGAAAAAGAAAAGAGATTTTAAAGTGAACGGAGGATTCCAAGCTGGACCTTGAAGCTGCGAATCGTCCATCTCGCGAGACTTTTTCACAACTGTTACAAAAAAAACCGGAAATGCTCTAATCTGGAAAGCAGGACTTATTATTTAAAAAAGTAGCATCGTAAAGTGGATCATTATTTATCATCGAGGGTCTTTGAAAAGAAATTTAAGGGGTAAGCAAAGAGCAAAAATTGCCGCGGAATTTACGGTTGGAAAACGGTCCAATCACATAGTATTATATACGTATATACAGCGATAATGAATGCAGCGCGCGCGTGTGTATCCACGTCGTTAAAAAAACGAACGTGTGGTGATAAAAATAAAGTGCAAAGTCAGCTTGCGTACGGTCAAGATCTATTCTTTGATATGCTGTTTCGCAAAAATAGACTGACTACCGTTTAACGATGCGATAAACATTCTTATCATAGCGTGGAATAGAGACAGAATCTTGTGATTGCTGATACAATCGACGATAAGAAGCGAGTATCATTGTAAATGACTATCAATATGAATTTAAATTCAACTTTTCTATGCTAATCTAATGAACTTTGCATTATTTTTTTTTATATATGACTGATTTCAGACATATGTGATGTACGAATGTGTAAATACAATTATTTGCCAATGTTAGCATTATGAATTATGTAACAGTGAATATTAAAATATAAAGTTAGGTCAGTTATTAATGTTCTTACAGTATTCTTCTTTTTTGTCGAACATTATAACGAGCAAAAACGCGGTACAAAAATAGCACGTATAACTAATGTTTGAAGTTTACGCGCGTCGTTATACATGTCATTCACACATGTTCTTACTGAAACGTATGTGTAGTCTGATCTTAAAGTAAACCTTAAAGAAGTCTGAAATTATGATGTTAAAGAACCTAAGATTTGAATTATTACATCAAATTAACAATCGCACACACAGTACCTCTCGTTAAAAATATAAAGAAAAGCAAACAAGAACTTCCAGTCATAATTTATTATACTTAATGAATCGCGATGTACATGATACATATGTACGTATCGTATGCACATTCGATATTAAAACATAATTCTACAGCTGATTTTAATATTTAATTTTTTTCTATATCGCGGTGAACACAAAAGTGTAAAATTATATACAGTATGTTTTCATAAAATTTTCTTAATCAAAGTGTGCGGAGACAAGTTGATGTACATAATACCACATGAAATTTATTTTATTTTAGTTTAGTGCTTTAGTTTATCTAATAGTTTTAGAGATATCATTAATAATTTTCAGTGAGCTCGATAACATACTGGAGTGAGAGGTGTTCTCGATATCGCCAAGAGAGAGGTGCATCTCACCTCATATGAATGACATAGAAATTGTGAGGTAGAAAATCATCGATCAATTAGATAATAGAGAAAAAGACAGATTCACCCAACACCTCTCTCTCTCTCTCTCTCTCTCTCTCTCTCTCTCTCTCTCTCTCTCTCTCTCTCTCTCTCTCTCAGCGAGAACAATAGGGAACAATAGAACCACTCACTTCAGTATGTTATAGAGCTCACTGATAATTGAGCTCTATAACATTTCAGATACGCCAAAAGAATTAATCCAATTAATCAATATCAGGCACCTTCGAACGATAAAAATGCATGTGTTTATAAATCATATAATGATAGCAAATGACACTTTTTCCTTAATTGTTGCGATATCATTGTGTTAGATTGATCGATGTGCTACGTGAGAAACGTGACTGACCTCGAAGTCTTTTCAGCCTTGGCAATGATCGAGCTCGCTCGAACGAGCCGAGCTCTTGGGGCCGCGTCCTCAACCTTGTTCACATCTAAAATATTACAATCACAGTAAATTATAAGTGTACAATGCGATAAACGAGTTATGCCACTCTTCAAATACACTTTGTGGTACGATGTGTCATATTCTCATTCATTTTATCGTAATAAATAAAAAATGGGCAATATACCATTTAATGGCAAGCTACTGGTATAAGTACAAATGTGACTTAGAATTTGTACAATTCAATAAAAATATCAAAATAATACGTAATTCTGATCACACGATAACATTTTTAATACTTTTACCTTGTAAGATTTTACGTGACTATACTTCAATTGCAAATACGAACAAACGTATTCATATACTCGTGAGTATGTTAACGAAACCAGGTTTATTAAAACAATTGGCATATCGGCAAATTCAAAGTTTAGGTTCTCACATTTTTCTTCGTCGCTTTCTTCAAATTAATTAAATACACGTTAAGTACGCGTAATCGTTCGAAAAAGCTTTGAATTATACTTCTACGAGCTTTAACGTCATTTTTATCTCACGCAAATTCGTTATTTTGAGAGCAATTTTGTTCCGGATTATTATTAATGATCGGATTATTCGGAGGATCAGCTGATCGCTAATCAGGCGTCCCCGCGCAGGCAGCTGCCGACGAAAATATTATGTGTCGGCGTCCCGGCGCGCCGCGCAAGCCTGCGCCTGGACTGACCTGGGGGACGCCCGTCGAGTCGAGGATCCAGCCGGCAGTCGACAAATGGTCCTCGATCAGGCACCATTGATCTTGCTCTACTCCGCTATTTGCGATCGCAAGGTACAGGCGGGTCCTCGGTCTTGGGCGCGTACACGAAATTTATCCGCAGGATTGCAACGAGCATACACGAGCTCCGTACGTATGCACGTCGGTCTCGATAAACCACCTGATAATTCGGCTGTTAGGATCTTGACATTTAAATCGGGGAGAAAATCAAATCCAAAGTTGTTAATATAATCAAAACTGGTCGTTAAAGTAAATGAATGGATATTTTAGGATTTTAAATCTGCACATGTGTGTGTGTGAGGTGATTTAAGTAAAAATCTATTTTCAGTACAGTGAGGATCCGTGCTCCGTTATTGTGTTAGAATAGCAAATTACGTCGTAAATATTCACTCTTCGCAATTTCCCCAGCATCATTGATAAATCGGGTCTAAACAGGTGCACAGGTCTCGCGACGTGAATTTCTAACTCGGGATAACCGATGTCAGCTGGTAGCTTCGTCGCGACGACGCAGTGAAAGTCTTACAGGTGTCATTTCCCCAGAATCACTGTCGCCGGGCACCGGTTACCAATTAGCGGACGAGTCGGTGTGCGCTTGTGCGTGTACAAACTCGACGTAATCGCAGTTGCTTTCCAGGTCATGCATTACCTGGAAAGTGCCTGATATAACCGTGTCGCGAGTCTCCACCGTGTAATTACAAGTCTCAATAATTGTACGCTCAAGCAGGTACTCCCCGTGAATGCAAATAGAGAGAGAAAGAGAGAGAAGGAAGGGCATACTTTGTAATTGTCCTATATAAATTTGCATTTGCTGCTACTGTCTTTTTTCTTTTATCGATCGCTCTTACGTCATGCGCCATTGCCATTCGTTCCAAGCGCTTTCGCGAGTTTTAATTCTAGTAGACCATCGATAATTACGGCATTACCGCACGTGTCACGTTAGTCAAATGAGCTGCGTATGCAAATATAATTATCATCGCCACGGCCTTGTCAAACGAGTTCTATTTTCGACATCCATTTTCGTTTGGGCGCAACTTAAATTTAAGTTACTCAAACAAAATGACATTTTTATGCAAAATATATATGTATATAAACTGAAACTTTTCACCGATTCTTCCCCAGTTCAATACCAACCATCTTCCATTTTATGATACCATTTTGTGATACTCTATTGATATTCAAAGGTTTATTTCGATATCTCGACATTTGGGGAAATTATAGTGCGAACAGTACATACGTACATACACACGCACACACAGACATCTTCTTAAAAATATGTTTTTTTAACGTTTTGAAATACGTTGGCAACGAAAACTCAAATATGCAACATTGGCAATGAATACAATTGTTTTTTTTTTACGAAAAACAAAGCTTCCCTATGGAAGCAATTAGTTTAACGTCGCGACGGTAGTGACAAAATTTATTACTCGCTACAATATTTTATAAAAATTAACGGGATCCTTTTACGTTTGTTAACAGACTTTACACAAGGATGGCGCCAAATATACCGACAGGAGTACTATTCGAGGATGATGCTTCTACCGAGCCGCAATCGATCGACGAGCCGAAGGAGAAAGTGAAATATGTTAGGCGCATTGTTTGGAAAAACGTGATGACTTTCTCACTCCTACATCTCGGTGCTCTTTACGGAATTTATCTCTTGTTCACGTCCGCCAAATTGGCGACCATCGTTTTCAGTGAGTGATTCGATTTTATTGCGCGGCGTAACGTATCTTTTACCTCCTGTCGAAATAATTGTATGATTAAATGGCACTTTTGCTCAACGGAGAAATTAAATTATATAAAAGTATCAATCGATCGCATCCTTATTCGCTACGATATCATTGGATTCAACTGATATTTTCACGTCGAGGTACTCATATAATAGATTAAGTGTTTAATTTTGCACTTATGCGAAGCTCTTCAGCGGAAACAATTCGCGGAATGTTAAAATTATTTCGGCTAAAATATCTGACTCTTTATGTACTCGCGTCTCTTTCGAGATTCAAACAACAGCAGACCTGTTGACGCGATAGGTTTTTTTATATAATTTCATTTAGACTAATTGATTTACTTTACGTTATTACGGGAATTACCACGTTTCGCTAACTGCAATAGTTTTCAGTGCGGTTGTCGCTACACACATAAGTGTGTTACGACATTCGTATTACGAGTGAATTTTCTGTTCCGCGTTGTCAGTCACATCTCTCGCGATATACAATAATTTGCCAAGACCAGTTACTCCATGAAAAAATTGACGATCATCGGAGCAAACGGCAAGACCTTTGCATGTAACATCATGATTTTCTGGATTACAGCATTTTTATTGTATCAATTGACCGGCTTGGGAATCACAGCTGGGGCTCACCGACTTTGGTCACACCGATCCTACAAAGCCAAGTGGCCTCTTCAGCTACTACTTATGATCATGAACACTATAGCGTTCCAGGTAAGTGGATTTCTCAGAAAATGAGGACTTAATAAATAGAAATATTCACGAAAAATGTAACGTAGAATAATTCGTAATCAGTTTTTTTTTTCGTGGCGAATATCAACGTCAGGACTGTGGCATTGAAAATTGATTAGCCGTACATTAATAACTGCAATCGGTCGAACGGGAATACAATAGAATGGACTTTTACCTACAGCTAGTGAGGCGTAAAGAATTCATGTCGATACGGTGATGCCGAGCACAAAACATGCGTCGCGTGTAAGAAATGGAAAAATAACATGATCTAATGCGTGTCATTAGACGTTGGCTAAACAAATGATCTGTTGTTAGGGAAAAACTACGTTCTTCTCCATAAGCTTGAGAATGTAGGTGGTACGTATTGTTTGTGACGGAAGTATAAGAATGTGAGCGTGCACATTCACATCATTTTTATTCACTGCGATATAAATTTTCGAAGAAATACGCAAATGAGAGGGAATAATACGAAATGCGACAACAATATATCCAAATCGCTGTACACGAATGAAACAAATTGAAGCTAGTTCTATATGTCAGCATCGATCAAAATGTAATTTTGTCGGATCTAGGACGCCGCGATCGACTGGGCCAGAGATCACAGGGTTCATCACAAATACAGCGAGACCGACGCCGATCCGCACAACGCTAAGAGAGGTTTGTTCTTCTCGCACATGGGCTGGCTGCTCTGTAGGAAACACCCGGAAGTCAAGGAGAAGGGCAAAGGTATCGACTTAAGCGATCTTGAGAGCGATCCAATATTGGCATTCCAAAAGAAGTACGTATATCGATAATAATCGAAGTGATGCCTTGCCAGCGAACAATTATCTGCAATGAGAGTTATTGTTTGTTTCAGATATTATACCATATTGATGCCACTGCTGTGCTTTATTTTGCCAACCGTTATTCCGGTCGTGTATTGGAACGAGACGTGGACGAACGCTTACTTTATTCCCGGTGTTCTCCGTTATGTCTTCACGTTGAACATGACATGGCTGGTGAATTCCGCGGCTCATTTCTTCGGCAACAGACCCTACGACAAGTAAGTGTCAATTAGTTAAAATAGTTTTACGGGTGTATTTTTTTATTTCCTTAATTTGTTTCGGAGAGGAAAATTATCAAACTTTCCATTTTCTACTTTTCAATACTTCGGTAGACTTCCTTGAAAGATTTATTTTTAGCGCAACGTGATAAACATTACAATTGCTTTCTTATCCGGTATAGATATATCAATCCAGCGCAGAATAAAGGTGTTGCTATACTCGCCTTGGGCGAAGGTTGGCACAATTACCATCACGTTTTTCCCTGGGACTACAAGACGTCAGAGTTGGGCAATTACACATTCAACTTCACGACGGCTTTCATCGACTTTTTCGCGAAGATTGGCTGGGCCTATGATTTGAAGAGCGTCTCCGAGGACACGATAAAGAAGCGAGTGGAGAGAACAGGTGATGGCAGTCACGAGTTATGGGGTTGGGGCGACAAGGATCAATCGCAGGAGGAAAGAAATGAAGCGGTAGTGACGCATCGTCACACGAAAGCTCAGTAGGATACTGCGCGTGCGCGTTTAAGACTCTCGATTAAATAAGGTTTTTTTTCATCTTTGACCACGAATCGATTCACCTGGACAAACTCCATGAAAAATACTATTTATGTCGGTCTTCCAGAACTTACGTCTCAACCGTCGTGTATTTTGGTTTCGACACGTCGTTGCACGATTATTTGATCGGTTCCATATAATACAGTCTTGGAAGGTCCAGCGCGGAGCAGGATTTTTGTAATGTCGATGGTGTTCTGGATCGCGAGCGTTCTGTACTTGCTCAATAAACTTTTTTTACCTCTTTACGAGACATATAGAGTTAGCTTTTAAATTATACGACGTAATTATTCGGCAGTTTGTATCATTTGTACAATTTTTTAACGCGTAATCGTAAGGAGAACATATACATATTTGTATAATTGGACTAAATATAATAATTATATATTTTGGCTTTTTAATGTGTCGCGTAAATCTACAATGGCGAAAGAAAAAGAAATGTAGAAATACAAATATGGTACAAGAATTACAAACCTAATTTAATATATAAATACAAATCTTTTTGAAAATGTATAAACATTGCTCAACTTTAATATACATTTAACTACCAACGACCAAATTTTGTACGTTATGCTTTTTCGAATAAAATGAATAATTCAGTTTTCAAATCTGAATAATAAGCGTAAGACAATAAAGTCTTATTGTTATGCCAAAATTGAATTCATAAAACACGGTATCGTCCAGAACATCAACGAAATATTATTCTTCGACACATCTAAATGTTACATTTTCTCCCTTTCTTCCGACATTATAAACGCACAAAAAATTTTTTTAAGTTCTTATTTGCGATGTGTTGAGAAATTATTTGCCTTTTATATATAAAAAATACATCACATTTTTGTAATTTTGACAAGTTCCTGTTAGTTAGTGTTTTATGTTTGTACACTCACCCGCAAAAAAATGGGCCACCACATTTTAGTCCAATTTTTCAACATTTTTCAATAGCGATAACTTGGCGAAAAATCATCGTAGACAAATGAATAAAAAAGCATTTTGAAGCTTGAAGTTTCAACTTTGAAATGCTGTCAACAATTCTTTAAAATTCGTTTATCTTCCTTGTTCTATGCTTTAAAAAAGAACACATTGTTTTCTTTCTTAGAATTACGTATTTTTGACGCTCTGTGGCTGGATAAAAAAATTTGTCTCGAAAATATCATCTCAAATTGCATAAACTACAACTCTTTGCCTACAAAACGCTTTTTTAAAAATTGTCCTACGATGTTTTTTGACCGAGATATACGATTTTGAAGCTAAACCTGTACTTTTTAGAAATGTTGTAGATACTCGGCGAAAACTCATCGTAGACAAATGATTAAAAAAGCATTTTGAAGCTTGACGTTTCAACTTTAACGTGCTCTAGATGTTCTTTTAAAATTCCTTTATTTTCCTTGTTCGCTGCTATAAAAAAAGAACACATTGTTTTTTCCTTAAAATTACGTATTTTTGATGCTCTGTAGTTGGGTAAAAAAATTTCTCTCGACAATATCATCTCAAATTCCATAAACTACAACTTCTTGGCTATAAAACGCTTTTTTAATCATTTGTCTACGATGAGTTTTTGCTGAGTATCGACAACATTTCTAAAAAGTACAGGTTTAGCTTCAAAATCGTATACTCGGTCAACAAACATCGTAGGGCAATTTTTAAAAAAGCGTTTTGTAGGCAAAGAGTTGTAGTTTATGCAATTTGAAATGATATTTTCCAGACAAATTTTTTTATCCAGCCACAGAGCGTCAAAAATACGTAATTCTAAGAAAGAAAACAATGTGTTCTTTTTTAAAGCATAGAACAAGGAAGATAAACGAATTTTAAAGAATTGTTGACAGCATTTTAAAGTTGAAACTTCAAGCTTCAAAATGCTTTTTTAATCATTTGTCTACGATGATTTTTCGCCAAGTTATCGCTATTGAAAAATGTTAAAAAATTGGGCTAAAATGTGGTGGCCCATTTTTTTGCGGGTGAGAATATTATATAAATTATTTTGTAGGTAACAATCAATTTGGTATAACTTATTTATATGATAAATGATTTATGTTTCTAATGGGGAGAAAGAAATATGTGAATAAAATACTTTACGTTAATAGTAATAAGAATTGCGGGCATACCAAAGTGAATATAATGTTATTTAATATAATGCAACTGCGACGTAATGAACGTACGATATACGTATTTGTATATATTAATTTATCATATTGTTTGTATCGCTTAATAAAAGATTCGAGAATAAATGTATGTAACAGTTTGTGATATAAAATTGTAAGCGATGAGAGATAGGATAGAAGTCTTAATTTCTAATGGAACTGTTCTTCGCTTTAAAAATAAACGATTGTTATGACATTAATACACATGAAACACTTACATTTTGCAACGTATCTTCTTTCCAAATACATCGAAAATATTTTCTTGGTGTGAAATAAACGTTATTAATTTTTCTTTTTTTATAAAATCGCGCATACAGAAACGCAGTTTCGCGATTTTGTAACACGCAAAAATCGCACGTATTTGTTAGGGATTCTAGTTAGCACGCATTTGTCTTCAAGTAAACATTATTACAAATTTCTACATCCAATCTTTTGATTTTTATCTTATATTTTTGGCAAGTTAAATAAGATTATAATCACCTGTTCGTCAGGTGTAGCAAGCATATAGGAAAATGATTGTCAGGACATATTTTTGTCAAGAACACAAAATTATTAAAATTAGTTTTACTATTAAATATAAAAATCACACAATTGAATTGTATTGTATTATATCGCAATGAGCTCACACACATAAATAAAGCACTAAAATAGTGTATAATAAAATATATATTTTTAAAGACATTTTTAAGTAGGTACATCACGTCTTTTTATTCGGTACCTATAGCTTTAATTCAAACGTCAAATATCAGTTTAATTGCGAGTAATTTAGAAATGATTGTTCGGTGTTCTAAATTAGCAAGTATCATTCTTATTAGACAATAAATTTATCATCATATATACTTAATTTATAAATGAAATAATACATGTGTATGTATACACTCAATCAGCAAAATGTCAGCAGATTGGCATGAGATTGGCAGCAGATTTATCAGAAACCCATATCAAAATCATAGCCATCTGTGTCCGCATCTGGTATTTGTTTTGGCAACAGATTCAATCAAATTATTTTGTTTTACTCAACAAAATGAGTCTCTCAGTGTATGCTGTCAACAGATTGTAGGCAGAAACCGAGCAGGTCCAGTTATGTGAGTAGATTTTATTGTATTTTTGCTGACATGCTGGCAACATATCGAATATATCAGTTCCTGTATGCAATCTGCAGTCTTTCTGCCTTCAAAATTTGTAGTGGGCATTTAACGAAATCTGTTCTGACAGGTCTAGGCTATCTGAGCATACATAGCAAGAAATTTCATAGTTGGTGTAAGTTGGGGGTTTGAATTCCACAATTAATTAACTTTCATAATTAGATTTTCGTTTTGCAGGTATTAGTGTTTAAAATTTTTTAAATTTAGTTTTTTAATTAACATTTGTAAAATATCAATTACATCTAACAATTTTATTAAAGTTAATTTATTATCTGGAAAATTTGCTTTCCTAATGCGTAAATATTAACGTCTCCTTAAGAGCGGTTTGTACCGAATTTTCTTTTATCTCCGCGAAAGCTTCATCCATCGTCATCTCTGATGTGGCAATCTTATAAAGAGCTTCACGTACATCTTCGCTGGTAACAGTCGTTAGTTCGTTAACTAGTCCGAGTTCACGCCACATCTTGAGGATGAAAGTGTTAAAACCGTTTTCATAAGCACCGAACTCATCATTTTTCCAGTCAAATGAAAGCACATAATGATAATTCAGCCAGTAAGACTTTGACACGAAAAAAACCGAATTGTCATCGACCGGGAACCTGTAACATTAATGTCAAATATTAAACTGAAGCAAACTCAACAAACATAATGTGAAGATTACACTATTATAATTATGAAAAATATAATAGGGATATGAATATCATTAGAGAAGAAAAGAGAGAAATGAAATAGTTATCTTAGACTAAAATATGAGAATTTTTTAACGCTCAATATAAAATTCTAAACTTGTCAATAACAATAATTTTATTACTATCTTAAACTATCACTAAAAAGTGTATAATTAAAACCATATTTAAAAATACTAAATCTCTTATAAAAATTTTTTTCCTTTATGATGTTCTTGAAATTTATGACAAAATATTTTTTAAATCTTCTTTTTTCTCAGATTCCGTTAAGTACTACTTGCAATGGATACCACCCTCGTTAATCACAACGGTACTATAACTTTTTAGCATCTCAAAGAATAGCTTGTAGAAAAACGAGAGCGTATAAAAAACAGATATTAACTTGTCTCCCATCTTCAGGCCCCACACCAATAACGCGCTGTTCACTAGCCAAGAAATATTGGTAGTTATTAATAACCGCGCTGCACCAATGATTAAAATCGCATTAGCATACGATTCATCCCAGTATGTTACTGCCACGTTGATAGGCAGCAGAAGTCCGAGCACGATGAATAATATCCAGTAAAACCTACGCAATATACTTGCTTTAATAATTATTTTTGTATATTTATATTTACCACAATTTCTCACAATGATGTAGCTATAGATTAATTTATTATACGTTCAGAGATACAACCCCCTCATAAGGTAGCAAAAAGAAATGAAATAAAAAAGAAAAAAATACGACACGTAAAGATATTGTTAATAAAAGAAGCGAATAAAACTAGAAAATCAAATAATTAAAGAGATAAAAATGTAAATATTCCTTAAAAAAAGTATATTGACAAAAGATAGATATCAATAGAAAATGATAAATAATTTTATTTCTATAGAATTCTTTATAATTTATATGTATACATATATGTATATAAAGAAATACATAAAAGAAATAAGCTGTTTCAACTATAATTAAAGAGACATACTTTCTTTGCGTCCAAACATATCCATCCATTTCCACATCGCACATATCAATATCTCTCGCATATGTCTTCAAGTCAGAGGGTGCTGATAAGAAGTTACTAATCACATGGGAGTATAAGAACCCTTTCTTATGATTGTACGGATCCCTTTCGGTGCCATAAAATCTATGATGTATTCTATGCCAAAAGACCCAGTCATATATCGAACCCTGACAGATAAAAATTTTAATATAGTTATTTTTATAATTTACAATTTTTATTATGCTATATCAAAAGGTTATTAATAATGCTGGATAAGTCTTCATTGTATTATAGTTCTCTATTGTAAAATGCATGTTTCTAGATTCGCACAGACTTTGCAATTACAGTTTATTAAAGTTAATAAATATGATCGCTATACAGGGTGATTCAAAATAGGTATAGTGTCCCTGAAATGTCGTATTCCTGATTAAATTCTAAAACGATTTTTCTCTTACTAAAATGTTCTCCGAAGCTTAGTTTTTGAATTATTCAAAGAAATAGTCAGCGAATAACTGGCCGAGTACAAGAGGCAGACAGGAGCGGCGCACCGCCGCGGCGCCCGGCGGCTCACGCGGGGCGGTCAGCTGAGCGATCAGCTGTAGCGTTGCACACGCACATCTCTCTCTCTCTCTCTCTCTCTCTCTCTCTCTCTCTCTCTCTCTCTCTCT